GGAATGCCTCGGAGCCAAAGCAGGAGACAAAAACGCGCTGCATACTGGTGGACAGAGAACATTGCTCAGTTAAGAAGAGCGTGCCTTCACCTAAGACGGGTCTACACAAGAAACAGACGAAGAGGTAATGCAACAACAGAAATGTATAATCTCCACGCCGCGAAGAATGAACTAAAGCGGGCTATCGAAATTAGCAAAAAAGTAAAATGGGAAGAGCTTCGGAATGACCTAAACATAAACCCGTGGGGTCTAAAGTATAAAGTCGTTATGAAAAAACTAGGTGGTCGGGCCCCACCCCCCCCAACTGAACGCATATAAAATGGATAAAATCGTCAATGCCTTATTTCCCATACATTAAACAAGAGCCAAGAAAATAAGACCGACGGAACCACCCAACGACGCACCCCTCTTCACCATCGAAGAGTTGCAAACGGCGGCACAAAAACTTAAACCCAACAATGCACCCGGATCAGATGGAATACCAGCAGAGGTACTAAAAATAACCGCCGAAAGTCGCTCAAACGTGCTACTCGGATTGTTTAATACCTGTCTCAAAGCCGGCGTATTCCCAGAAATTTGGAAAAAACAACAGCTCGTGTTAATTAGTAAAGGAAAAGGTGATCCAGATAGTCCATCAGCATACCGGCCTCTTTGCATGATTGACACAGTCAGCTTCGAGAGAATGATTAAAACCGAGGATAGAAGAAGCAATCACGACGGCAGGCGGCTTATCACCGAAACAATACGGTTTCAGACCGGGTAAATCAACACTGGGGGCCATTGAGAATGTCGTGAGAGGCGTAGAAGAAGCACACAGAGGATGCAATATACTCAGACGAGTTGCTCTACTCGCCACCCTTGACGTTCGAAACACCTTCAACAGCGCTCGATGGGAAAACATGATTGAAGCATTAGAAGAAAAATTTAAAATACCCGCATATCTCAGCATAATGGTGAGAAGCTATTTGGAAGACAGGTTTTTGCTGTATAAAACCTCTGAAAGACCATGACCCTTGAAGGTCACGTCCGGAGCTGCGCAGGGATCAATCCTCGGCCCAGACCTCTGGAACGTCAGTTACGATGGCTTAATATGCTCGATATGCCCGACGATACTTATTTTGTTGGCTACGCAGAGACACCGAAGATGCCCGCAGGAAGTTAAACCAGGTGATGATCAGAGCACAAATGTGGCTTGATGCGAAAGGTATCAAACTTGCCACTGAAAAAAGCGAGCTGGTACTGCTAACAAAGAAGCATATTCCGACTATAGTAGACATGAGGACAACAACAGAAACATTAAGGACACAAAAGGTTGTCAACTACCTGGGGGTATGAATAGACTCCAGGCTTACCTCCTGTGCACAAATTCATCACGCTGCAAAAAAGCGTCCATAATAACTAGCCAATTGAGCAGGCTGATGACTAGTATCGGAGGACCGAGACAAGAAAAACGGAAGCTTTTGATGTCAACAACACTAAATGTCTTGCTCTACGGAGCAGAGTTATGGGCAGACACATTAAGAAAAAATAGTCGACGCAAATCCCTCGAAAAAGTGTATCGTACAGCTGCTCTAAGAGTAGCATCGGCATACCGTACAGTCTCGGGCGAAGCTGTATATGTAATAAGCGAAAACACACCCATCGACTTATTAGCATTTGAACGAAAGAAAATGTGGACGTTGAAGAAACAGGGAACAGATGCTGCCGCTACAAAGGAGGAAATAAAGAGCGACACCTTGGAACAATGGCCAGCTCGCTGGGAGCAAGGACGCCACGGTAGATGGACGGCCAGGCTAATCCAAAACATAAGAGAAGGGTGTAACAGGGAACATAGTGAGGTGGATTTCTATACTACTCAGATGCTATCCGGGCATGGATATTTCAGAAAGTATCTATATAAAATAGAGAAGTCGAAAAGTCGTCCTGTATCTACAACGAAGCGATCGAGGACGACGCTGAACACACATTTTTCAAATGCACACGCTGGCAAATGCAGCGAAATAGGCTCTACACTTTGGTCGGCACCCTGAATGCGGATAACCTCATAACTGTCATGCTCCAAAACGAGGAAAATTGGAAGAACGTGAAAAATTATATAGAAAACGTACTACGGATTAAAAAACGAGACCTGGACTCAGGTAATGACATGTAAGTCTTAAGACGAGAAATATGGAACGCCACCCTGAAGTAATGTGAAAGCGGTTCCAGGGTGGGCGACGGTTCTCTAGACGAGAGTTTTTTAGTGACCTGCAAGTGGCACATACCATTGCTGTGACGACACAATGACGATGCGGAAGGCATTTCTCTCAACCTCGCTCGAAAAAAAAAAAAAAATAGTTTGAGTCCCTCAACAAAGGAGGCTGCGAAAATTATAATTTTTTTCAAATCGTCTTATTTTGACGCAAAGATTTCAAATCCTTGAGAGGAATGTTGATTTTTCCAATAATTCAATATTTTTTTTTAATTTTTTATACAAATGAACTTTTAAAAAAAAAAATTTAAAAAATTAACACATTTTGCACATGTTCTTTTGCGTGGCAACTCCTTTCTACACTGGCGGCCTTCGGCCGCGCTTAACAAAAATAACCCTGGTCGGTCCAACACCGAGGTCTATAATTCTTTTGCGTGCTGAAAGGAGTTCAATACAAAAGAACCATTGACACCAAGGTATTGGACCGACCAGGGTTATTTTTGTTAAAGCGCGGCCGAAGGCCGCCAGTGCGGAAAGGAGTTCGACGATATCCTCTCATGGTTCGTACCATCAGATTGCTGCGTTGTAACTGATACATTTCTTCAGTATTTTTATCAGAAGAAATGTCTAACTCGTTGATGTTGTAATTACAGCTAAGTGATCAGAACTCCAAAGAATTCAGTCGCTACAACAACAACTAAGTTACTTGAAAAATATGTGCAGTGTGATAAATATATTTATATATATACAAGGAGCGTTCCACAGTAAACAGGACTTTCAAAAAAAAGACAGAACAAATGGCTTTATCGGCAAAATTAATTAATTTTATTCAAAATAGTCTCCTGCTTTAATACAGCTTTGTGCACGGTCCAAAAGCATGTCGAACGAGTGTTTTAGCTCGTTGCCCGGTATGGCCGCCAGTATGCCGGTGCAAGCCTTTTGAATGGCCTCCGCTTTCCTTTCATCGGCAAATGCATTTTTCCGACAAGGTACAAGTCGCACGGTGCCATATCAGGTGAATACGGGGAGTGGTTAGGTTTTAGGGCTTATAAGTATGTTTTATTGGCCTTATTCGCTGAATATGTGTTTTTGTTTTTGGTTAGATTTCTTCCGCGTTGGCAGCCTTCGGCCGCGCTTCTAAAAATAACCCTGGTCGATCCAATACTGAATCACGGTACTGGAAAGGAAACAAAAATAATTATGATTAATGTATGTATGTATGTATGTTATGTATCAGGTATAATCCTCTTTTGTTATTTCATTTCAATTCATTTGCAAAATATATATATATATAATAGATATGGGAACATTATTATTTGTCAAATGGAACGTTTTTGTGCTAGTGGATATAACGAAGATTATGTTAAAAAGATATGCTTATTTAAAGCAAATATGAAAATAATATATAATATATAAAATAAATATTTAGAAACAATGTAGGAAGTCTTAGTGAATAAACGAAAACTTAAATATAAATCGAGAAATTGCAAGGTAAAAGTTTGTAAAATTTTAACTTAAAATGC